TCTATATTTTACAAAGGTTTATTCAAAAGCAACAAGCTTACTGTTTAATATTTACCTAACTTAGCCCTTCAATTGCAATCCATCAGCACCACTAAAATGAAATGCAAGTAATAGACAGTCTTTACTTTGCTGTAGTTATGGGATGCCAGTTTATTGGTGAACATGTAACAATCCAGATTATTAAAGACATTTTCATGCATTAAAACAGAAAGGTATCCTGAAATAAATCTTTCACTTGTTACATTAGTGAATGTTAATTCTAATAATAATTATTAATTATTATAATTAATTATACCTCAACTATCCTTTCTACCCCACGTCCATGCCATGACTCGCTCTGCCTTCCCCCATCTCCACAATATTGCCCGGGTCGATCACTGTCTCACACCGCAGGCCGTCGAAACCCTCATACACGCATTCATAACATCTAGGCTTGACTATGCAAACTCCTTGCATGTCGGCCTCCCCAACTCCTCCCTCCATAGGCTGCCGATCATCCAGAACCTTGCAGCCTGTGTCTTCTCCTGCGCCAGGCTCTGTGACCCTATCACCCCCATCCTCTCCCGACTCCACTAGCTTCCTATCACATAGAGGATACAGTTCAAGATTCTGGTCCTCTCCTTCAAAGCCCTCCATGGCCTCCCTCCATCCTACATCTACTACCTCCTAACTCCTTATCATTCTGTTCGCTCCCACTGCTCAGCGGACTCATCTGCTTGATGTCCCCTGCCTCGACAGCCCCACTATTGGCAGGCGGACCTTCTCCCACTCTGCCCCTACCCTCTGAAACTGCAAACCGCTGGCCCTCCACCTTGCCTCCTTCGAAATCCGTCACAAGACCCTCCTCTTCGACATTGCCTTCGGTCACCCACCTTCACCCCCTGCCCTCCACCCACACTGATCCCGACCCCCACCTTGGGTCCGAAACAATGATTGTCCAGCACCTTGGGATGTCCTCCTGACGTGAAAGGTGCTGTACAAATGTAGACCGAGAGGTACAGACATATCGGTGAGTACGATTGATATGTGCAATTCCCAAAAGGTTCCCTTAAATCTGAGTCATTGCAAGTAGAGACTGCTTCCTGCAATTAACATGACCCTGATCCATGGAAAATTTTGCTCTGACATAAGGTACTTCTGGAGTAGAGTTCCTATTGGATTGATTGGAATTCCTGGAAAATGCCTTTCAGACTCCAAAGTCATTTGATCCTCCGATTTGTGTATCTATTTGTTCCTTTTACAGATGAGATGTCCTCCCTACATGGAATTGGGGTATTTAAGAATTGCAGTTACATTTTTCATCTCACAGAATAATTCTTCTTTGCAAGACCATTTTAAGCTTGACTTGTGAGCTCCAGCTCGGCGGGATGTGTGGTCAAATATATTTACTAAATTGTGTTGTTACATAGACTTGCCAATAATTGAAGGTCACAGAACTGCAAACCAGATAGAAAATAAATTATTACATAAATACAGAGTAAACAGTTTCACAAAGACCACTGAGGTCAACAAGGAAGGGTAAGATTAAGAGAAAACAAACATTGAGCAAGTACAGTTACAAGTGAAATCAGAAATTATTTCTTCCAAATTTCAAATACAGAAGGTTTAGAGACAATGGAATGCACTGCACAGAAGGATTGAAGGTCTACCTTTCTCCTTTTCAGACATCTTCAATTGCTGCTGACGATTGACGATAATAATAATAATACTCCTTGCTAAAAGGGAGATAGACCGACAGACAGACAGACAGACAGACAGGCAGGCAGGCAGGCATTTGGAAAGTAATAATAATAATAATAATAATAGTAATCCTTGCATTTGACATAGCGCTTTCCACATTTTCTAGACGTCTCAAAGTGCTTCACAAAATATACTGCAAAGTGAATTGATTGTATATTTTGAGGGTGAAACCCGACAGCTAATTACGCACAGCAGTGTCCCACAAACAGTCGTGGATTGATGTGACCAATTTATTATTCTTTTCATTTTCTTGAGGGATTATTATCAGGCGTGTGGAGCAAGGAAACTTACACAAGGTTTCACCCTGCCAGGAATGGAGCCCAGGTCATTCGCTTGCAAGGCGAGAAGTGCTCTGAGACGCCATCCGGTCTGGAGGGAGCTATATAAATCCAAGTTGTTGTGATTGAGTCCTCTAACCACTAAGCTACAGGACTCCTGTAAGACTATTAATAGGTATGGGGAAAAGTCAGGAAAAGGGTTTGAAAAGATCTGTCATAAACTAATAAACTGGTAGTGTCGGCTCAACAATCCATCAGATAAAATTGGTCATTCACTTTATGGCTATTTGTGGAACATTGCTGTACAAAATTTGGCTGCTGCGGAGCAAACAAAATATAGTCACGGCACTTTACAGTACATTCGTGAAGCGCTTCGAGTCATCTTTCTGACTTGAAAGGTGCTATAACAAGTTTTTTTTATTGTTATTGTTTGACTATTATTTAGTGCTACTCTTCAGAGTTAGCCACAGGTAGGAAGGATTTGTGATACAGGAACTCCTCTCATCTCAACCTTCATGGTTCTGACTTGACTGGTTCAGATCATTCCTCTCACACCGTCTCCACTTCATCACTACAAATGGTTTCTCCTCTAATCCCCACACCGTCTCGTGTGGCATTCCTCAGGGCTCTGTCCTTGGTCCCTACCTTTTCAATACCTATATGCTGCCTCTCGCTGATATCATCTGCAGACATGGGGTCAACTTCCATTCTTTGCGGATGACACCCAACGGTACCTCTCTGCCTCCACCCTGGTCTCCAGGACCACTGCTGTCCTGACAGAATGTCTGCCAGACATCAAGTCCTGGATGAAAGCTAACTTTCTGCAGCTGAAAGTCAACAAGGCCGAGGCCCTCCTGTTTGGCTCCCGTCACCGCCTCCACACCTCAGGCACTGACAGCATCACCATCCAAAGATGCACATTCCACCTCACTGAGCCAGTCCGGAACTTTGGCATCTTCATTGATCCACAACTATCCCTTCTACTCTACATTTGTGCCATGTCCCGCTCCGCCTTCCCCACATCCACAACATCCCCCTGCTCTGCCACTGTCTCACACCGCAGGCTGCCGAAACCCTCATACATGCATTCATGACATCCAGGCTCGACTGAGCAAACTCCCTGCTTGTCGGCCTCCCCAACTCCTCCCTCTGTAGGCTACAGATCATCCAGAACTCTGCAGCCCATGTCCTCTCCCTCACCAGGCTCCGTGACACTATCACCCCCATCCGCGCCCGACTCCACTGGCTTCCCATCACACAGAGGATACAGTTCAAGATCTTGGACCTCACTTTCAAAGCCCTCCATGGCGTTGCTCCCCCTACCTCTGTGACCTCCTAAGCCGCTACCATCCTGCTCGCTCCCTTGCTCAACAAACTCCAGTCTGCTTCACGTCCCCTGCCTCGCCCGCTTCACCATTGGCGGGTGGACCTTCTGCCACTCTACCCTCTCCCTCTGGAACTCCAAACCACAGTCTGCCCAACTCATCCCCACATTTGCCTCCTTCAAGACCCATCTTAAGAACCTCCTGTTCGACCGTGCTTTCAATCACCTTGCTTCCCCTCCCCTGCCCTCCACACTCCTCAATCTCAACCCCCAGCTCAGGTCCAAAACACTGACTGTCCATTGCCTTGGGACATCCTCCCAACGTGAAAGGCTCCATACAAATGTAATTTTTGTTGTTGTTGTAGTAATCCTTGCATTTGACATAGCGCCTTATTACGTCATTGAGATGTCTCAAAGAACTTTACAGGATATACTGTAAAGTGGATTGATTATATTTTGTGGGTGAAATATGGCAACCAGTTGTGCACAGCAATGTCCTCATTCTTTAATCAAGTGCAGCTTTGCTATGAGTTGGCTGAAATCGCCAAAATTCTAAGCTTGTAATTTTTCCCATTTATAATACAATACAAAGTTATATTTATACAGTACCTTTCACTCGGGAGAATATATAAAAGAGCTGCACAGTAGTGGCTGGGCACCCGAGCTGGAAACCGATGTGGGGAGGTGAGAGATTACCAAGGAAGTAGGTCTTGAGACGGACCTTGATGAATATTGGAGTAATTTGAACCACATTTGCCTACAAAATACACAAACAGCCAAGAAGTGAATTTTATTTGATTGGGATTTTGGACCAGGACACCAGGAGATACTCCCTTCTCTTTTCAAATAGTGCCATGGAAGTCTTAACCAAAAGCAGATGGTATCTTGAATAACATAATATCTGAAGGACTGAACCTATGTTTAATGCAGCATAACCCCAGCACTGCACTGGAATATCAGCCTAGACTAGGTGAGTTCAAGGTCCCCACTTGGGCCTTCAACACATAATCTTCTGACTCAGAGCAAGAATGCTACCAACTGAGCCAAGCTGACACCTGGCTGTTGCAAGCTAAAGATGGAACTCCCATTCTGAAGATAGAACAAATATGATTAGTGATTGAAGTATAACAAATCTCTTAATTGAGAATAACAGTCAAACATTGAAAGTATAAAAATAGATGAACACCAGCACCCATGGATTTATGGTTCCCATATGCATCTCATAAATAAAAAAAATCCAACCACTAGCTTGAGACAAGATGAAATTAGGGATTTTTTTTATTAAGATTTTAAATTAAGAGTTAGTAGATAATTATTTGGGGAGGACAGGTTTGCAGGGCTATGGGGAGAGAGCGGGGGAGTGGGATTGAATTGGATAGCTCTTTTCAAAGAACCGTCACAGACACGATGGGCCAAATGGCCTCTTTCTGTGCTGTATAATTCTATGAAAGCAGTTTATATATATCATTTTATAGAACTTTTAACTGGAATTTTTCCAGATTTACCAGCAGCACTTGCCCACACAAAAAAATACACAGTCACTACATGTTACAGTATGTCCTGTGAAGCACTTTGAGATGTCCCCTCGACATGAAAGGTACCATACCAAAGTATTTATCATTATCATTATTTTTTAAATAAACAGAGGCATGTCTCACTTGAAGTGAAGGAAGAGTTTAATGGTTTGTGATGAGAATTTTACATTGCAAATGAAAGGAAGCACCTCATTATGTTTCAGATGTTCATGCTTTTCTATCCTTTTTAATCTTTTTTAATATTATGATATGGTACTTTCGATCCAGTCAATAAAACTTGAAACTCGCACATATATTCCTGGCTTCATTCGCCTTGCACATCCATAACCCCATGATGTTACTCCCTGAAGAACATACCGTTTGGAACTGTCTGGACAAACTAAGGGGCCTCCACTGTCACCCTAGAAAGAAACATAAGGAAAAGATTAGCACTCAAATGTTAAGAGTAAAGTGAAGACCATCATAACCAGGAATAGACCAGCAGTACTTTTACCTAAATTCTTAAAAACCTATGCTTTGGTTAGTGTATCGTTTTCTTTGTAATCCATAAACATTTCACTGTGGTGTTACCCTCTGATATTATGGCTTAACTTTGATCCAAAGATGTCTACCTAACATAAATTTTAAAGTAAATAATGGAATGTAGATTTGCATTCTGGGCATTGTGTTCCCAATCTCCGCCTTGCTGACTTGGAAAAGTAAGACAAAATATACACAAGATGAAAAAGCTACAACAGTAGTGGGAGATCAGAGAAACCCAAGCGTTATCATATACAAATTCATAAAGGTGTGAACGAAAAAACAAATTAGTTCTTGGTTGTATAAATAGGGTATGGAATGGAAAAGCAAAACGGCAAGCCAATAACCAGTACTAAGACAGTTTCAAGTATTGTGTCCAGTTCTGATTGTTCTACCATAGGAAGGATCTCAAGATGACAGTGGAGATTTATTAGGATGACCTGTACTAAACAAAAAGGGTTTTCCTATAAGGATAGACTAGAGAAACTAGGATTGTTTTGAATAGAACATAAAAGGTTGAGTGGAGACCTGATGGGGGTGTTCAACATTCTAAGTAAATAGAGAGAAGCTACTTTTACTGGTTGAAACTTTTTCTCTAAAGATGAAATTGTTTCTAATGTTTTACACATGTTTTGTCAGTAAGAAAAAAATTGGTTGTCTCGTCCATGACTAAAGTCCCTGATTATCCAGCGTCTTGGGACGTCCTCCCGACGTGCAAGATGTTATACAAATGTAATTTGTTTTTGTTGTTGTTATTTTGAGTGCATTGGGAACCATACCTGACAGGTGTCATGACCACCATCAATATCTCCAGCACACAATTCCTTGGAAGTAACTACTCCATTCAGAAATTCAGGACGATTGCAAATTTTATTGTCAAAGACTGGAAAGCCTGTTTCCTTCAGATATTTATCCCCTCCAGTTCCTAAAATGAATGTAGAAAAATAAGCAAGAGGATTATTTTACGTTTGTGAACATTAAAGTCTGCCTTTGCTTCACCTCTAGTTTTAGGCACAACTTTCAAGGCTTTAAATTTAAAAAAAAATGATCTCAATGAAAGGATATGTAAACGAGTCCTTTATGTATTTACAGAATCAGTTTTGAGTCTCAGAAGCTATACACTGAATAATTAGAAACTACTCATTAGTGAGGACAAGATGTTTTATTGCTCATTGGACCTAATTTGAAGTAATTCTTTCAGGAATCCTTAATAGGTGATACAACTCAAACAAATTAGGTATAAATGTAATACAGTCACCAGATGTATGTAATGCCAACGAGCATAAATGTCCACTTAGGAATATTAATCATAATTCTTGCATTTGATATAACGCTTTATCACATCACTGAGAAGTCACAAAGACTATAATAAAAGTATAAGTAAAGTGGTGTGACTGTGTATTGTGAGTGGATGCAGTAACCAATTTGCACACATCAACGTCTCACAAACAGCCATTGAGTGAGTGACCAATTGTATTTAGGGATTGTTGGCCAAGACACCGGTAGATACTCCTTTCTCTTTAAAATCCCTTTAAGAAACCCCCGCTACCCAGACGAATGAGGGAGGTGAGACGGAATTTCCAGCTAAGGGTAATTGCAATGCCGGTGGTACCAGGATTTAAATACTGGCGTTTTTCAGTACTGAAAAATGCGTTGGAATTGTTTGAATCAGAAGATAGCAAATAAGGTATCTTTTGCTCACGGGATTCAAACAATCTGAGTCAAAGTCGATATCCCTGGCCACTGTGACAGCTAGCAAGGATTGTGAGGCGGGAAACAAATCGCGTGGGCTCCTCAGCGCGGTGTTGCCAGGTGAGTTGGGCTGGCGGGCACACAGAAATTATGTTTTTAATTTTTGGTTTCGGGCCTGGTCCGGCTAGTTTCAAATTTCGGATACCTGGAGCATGGTAAGCCGGGGTTTACTGTACCACACATCAAACTCCAATACTGCTTCAATAAAACGATAAACTAATGTTATCTCAATTTCAAAATGCTGACAATCATGTACCTTGTGTCTCACCCCATCCTGTAACAAAACACCCAGTTCCACTCGGTACTATGTAGTCCTTTTCGGGTAAACAAACCACAGATACTTTGTCATTCAGGATTGCTGGCCTAAAAACAACAGAAGATGTGATGAAATCATTCTACTTTGTGTTCACTCTAAACTATTACTTAACTATCACCACATATATATATACACAGGGGATACAACTTGCAATATTTGTAAGTAGCAAAACCTACAGGTACCTGAAGGTATCCGAGGCAACACCTTAGGAATTGTACTTGGATGTTGATCTTTTGCCAGACAGGTGCCTAGATTTTACTTTGGTCACAATTCAACTTCATGAAAATTAATACTGAGATTGAAGTCTGAGTGCCTTTTTGGAGGGTCAGCCCCGGGCACATTCAGATACTTGAAGGACTCCCTATTTACATATATATTTGTTTGGGAGTTTCACAAATTCAATCCCAGTTATATATTTTTTACTCTTAAGCTGGTAAACTAGTAAAGACACTGGATACCAATCTGCTCTGTTCTTCCAATCTGACTATTTTGCAGAAAACAAAGATTTCTCTTCCATTAATGACGCCAAACTGAATAACTGAAATGACAAGTAACAGATGACAAGTGACTTGTTTGCTATTCAAATTCACAATACATCTACCAAAATATATACCATTATGTGACATTTTCCACATAGAAGAGTTCCACACACATGAGGTGAATGATCAATTAATCTGGAGGATTGTTGTCCATTTCATCAAGGCTGAAACTGCTTCCTCATCTAGTCATTCCTTATAGCTCATCCATTCAAAACTGGGGATTGATCTTCTTGCTCTCCTCTGTGCTGCCATGTAAGGGTGTCTACTTACGTTGTTGTGAGCAGAACTATAAGAATTACTCCTGTTCCAGGCTAACCAGAGCACAATTTAAATTATTTATATGAATATGTTACTTGAATTAACAGATCCATTCTTACATTTATCATGTTGTCATGTTGTCCCTCTCTTCCCCACCCAAACTTCACACCCATGATTGTAAATGTAAAACTGAGCTGCGATTTGAATCAATGTTCAGTATTTTACTGTTCCTTCTGTTAATATTCAAATATCTGAGAGTACAAATGTGCATTATTCACACCTCTTGACTCAGCTGCATATAAGAGGAAAGAGCTGGGAGCAGTATTAGACACTGGGTCTCATTTGCAGGATTTCTTAACATGTTTTCTTAATAAGGCATTCCTCTTATATTTGAAAATTTCCAAAAGTATTTACCTGCTAAGTCTTACTAAAGCAATGTCAGAATTATCAGGTCCCATAACCAGTTTGTCAACATCTCTAATTTGTTTTGAACGCTCGTCCGAATCTTCTTTGTAAATTCCAAGATAGATTCTATAAGCAGAAGGTCTTGTGGATCTGCAACGGATATGATGGTTTGATTAAATGTTAACAATTCTTAAGATCCATTCTCAAAATGAGAAACATTGAACAGTTTCTCCCCTTACCGTTTTAGACAGTGTCGAGCTGTGAGAACCCATTTTGGAGCAATAAGAGTTCCTCCGCAGAAATGAAAGCCATACCTGCAATGTACACCAGGTTCAAAATTAGGAACAAGTACAATTAACGTTAATAGTGTTATATCATAGAATCATAGAATTATACAGCACCGAAGGAGGCCATTCGGCCCATCGTGTCTGTGCCAGCCTTTTGATAAGAGCTATCCACACCAATCCCACTCCCCCCGCGCTCTCCCCATAGCCCTGCAAACTTGTCCTCCCCAACATCACAATGGAAGAAAAAAATCCTTGCATTTGACACAGCGTCTTATCACGTATTCGAGACGTCTCAAATGCCTCACAGAATATATTGTAAAGTGAATTGACTGTGTATTTTGTGGGCGAAATGTGGCAGCCAATTTTACACAGCAGTGTCCCACAAACCAATCCTGGATTGACACGACCAATTTATTATTATTAATTTTTTTAAGGAATTATTATCCCAGAAAAGTGATCCGCCAATCGATTAATAACTGGGTTCCTAATTACTGCTAGGTAAAGAGAGGCACGTGGAGTAAGGAAACTTGCCCAACATTTCGCCCTGCCGGGAATCGAACCCAGGTCTCTCGCTTGTGAGACGAGTGCTCTAACCACCGAGCTGCAGGACTCCACTTGAAAAACATCCTTTATGAAGTTCTTACATAATCTCTCCACAATCTCACCTCACCCTATCTCTGCAACCTTCTCAAACATTATCAACGTGGCCGTTCTCTTCACTCACACCTGCCTGATTCATATCCCCCACCTTACCCATCCACTATTGGCAGGCAAGCTTTCAGCCTATCTGTTCCCATTCTCTGGAACTCCATCCCAGAATCCCTCTGTTTCTTTCTCTTATTTTCACTTTGTTTAAGGTCCATCTAAAGATTTACCTTTTTGACCATGCTTTTGGTCATCTTTCAACTCCCCCTTCGGCTCCACCCCTCCCCCATCTTGGGTGCTAAGCCATTATTGATAAGTAACTCGGGATATCCTCCTAGCACGAAAGATATTATAAATGGAAATCTGTACTGTAAGGTTTCTACATTTTATCTAGGGACTGTAAATTACTGTATTTCTTAGTGGGATTCCTTAATAAAGAACCTTATTTGAATTCCCATAGATAAGGGCTTCTGATTTTCATTTTTAATTGATAAATACCGATAAAACATCCGCAATATGAAAAATAATGAAATTATGTATATCCAATAAACACCAGAAAAACACTAGAAATGGTTCCTCAACTCTGAGGTGAGATTTCCTCTCTCGCACATGCTCTCAGCAATACCCTGGTATAAGAACATAAGAATTTGCTTGGCAAAAGAAGACCAAGGTCCATCCAATTCATCTTCCACCATCCTGGCAGTGGCATGCTATGTCCCAAATTGCATATTGTATGGTGTAGTATGATATGATACGGTATGATATGGTATGCCAACTGCAAATGCATTGCTCTCACTCTCTGTCTCTTCTCCATGTGCATTGGCATATCTGAGGAAGTATTTGTATGAAAGAGGAGGGAGGCACTGGGCATGTGTGAGAGTGCCTCTCCCCTCTCCATGTGCACAGGCATGTCTTCTCATTACAGTAGACCCCTCAAAATCCCTGATTTATAAAAACTCAAAAATTGTTCAAAAAAGAATAACCCCCGAAAATGAAATTAATAAACACCAAAAAATACAGAAGTTGTATCATAGACCTATGGAAACTCTGCTCAGGAAGGAGATCACGTCTCATGGATTGGAGTGACATACATCCAAATTATTGGAAAACGTTGTCCAATAGAATGACTTGGCTTTCTTATTAAGGAATCTCAATGGGAAATACCGTATATTGGACATGATCTCTGCATGTGTATTTTATTATCCAGCACATCCATGCCCTGAAATAAATATCTTTTGGTTTCAAACACAAAAACAATATTTATAATAAATAATAAATTTGCATTTGATATAGCACCTTTCATATCAGAAGGACATCCCAAAGTGATTCACAGGACACACTGTAAAGTGCAATGACTGTGTATTTTATGGGTGAACACAGCAGCCAATTTATGCACGTCTATATCCTACAAACAGGCATGAAGTGAATGATCTATTTTATTGAATTTATAATTAAGGCATTACTGGAGCCAGACATAATTATTGGAATTACTGTACTTGTGGCAGATCAAATTCTGTTAAGATGAGTTGGTAAAACAAATCTGAACCCAGAAAAGGTAAAATGATCCAAGCCGTACAGTACATAATTTGCGCCATGATTATGGCATGTTTTATATCATCTTGAAGTAATTCACTCACCCTGTACGAACACTGACTTGCCAAGGCCAGGAATATGGATTGGATACACAACCACCAACAATTCTTCCATAACAGTTCTTAGGTTCAATTGCTGGTTTTCCACATTTAGTAGAGAGTTCTAGCATAAACAAATAACATTTGGTTTATCCTAGTAATGCTTTTCCTTTAAATCTAAGAACCTTACTATGATGCTTCCAAGTTAAACCAAGCATGCTATGGACTCCAACCTTCTCCATGGCCATTATCACATGACCAGTGGTTTAAATCTACAAACCAGCAATTGTTTTGTAAGATTCCCCTCCTCTCCTTCTAGAATAGATCATTCTTCAATAATAATCCTTGCATTTGATATAGTGCTTTTCATGTCTTCCAGACGTCTCAAAGCGCTTCACAGAATATACTGTAAAGTGAATTGACTGTATATTTGTGGGCGAAACACTGCAGCAAATTGCGCACAGCAGTGTCCCACAAGCAGTCGTGGATTGAGTCACCAATTTTTTTTTAAGGATTATTATCCTTACTCCACACGCCTGATAATAATCTCTCAAGAAAAAAAGCAATAATAAATTGGTCACTTGAATCCACGACTGTTTGTGGGACACTGCTGTGCGCAATTGGCTGCCGCATTTCACCCACAAATATACAGTCAATTCACGTTTCTGTGAAGCGCTTTGAGACGTCTAGAAGACGTGAAAAGCGCTATATCAAATGCAAGAATTATTATTATTATATTATGTTACTCCTGGAAAAGTGATTCTCCAATCGATTAATAACTGGTTCCTAATTACTGCTAGGTAAAGAGAGGCATGTGGAGTAAGGAAACTTGCCCAACATTTTGCCCTGCCAGGAATAGAATCCACCTTGCGAGGTGAGTGCTCTAACCACTGAGCTACAGGACTTACTGCTTCTTAATCATGACAAGCCTAAACCCAAGGAAAAAAACATCTGGGAAAATTGATCAATCAAGCCTTCAGCATACTGAGGACTACAGTGCCACCTACAGTATTACACTTACACAGTAACTGCATCTGCACTGGTACTTTTCTGAATCTTACATGAAACAGTGATGCAATTCAGGATTTGTCTGCAGACTAAACTCACCAAATAAGGGTAGGGAGTCCACAAGATAGACAACATCTAGTAAATTTAAGGTCCTGATCCATAAACAAGAATTTCAGGGTATACAGAAGTATGGAAGAGGGGATCAGGGCAGCTGAAGGCTCATGTAGAGTATAAGTATAAACATTGGCAGAGATGAGTTGGACCCAATAGTGTGTTTCCGTGATGTAACAATATATGTAATTCTAATTAATTGGTTCTACTATATTTGACAAATAAGAATTGAACAGGAAATAGATTCAATATTATATTGTATCCAGTGACATACATAAGAAAACATGTTGTACACTTTAACTAATAATTGTGATTGAAATAAACTAATACAAGTAAATATTGGCATGTCTACAGCTGTAACTTGTGAAAGATAACAAATGAAGAAGCAAGGTGATTTACCGCACTGGGGAATATCATCGCAGTAGTCGTACTTCTTTTCTCTGTCTGTTGTGTAACACCACGGACCATTCGCATCATTGTCTGGATTTCTGCAATGCTACATTCAATTGACAATGAATTACACTTTTAATTCAAATGCAGTGAACTTCATACAACTTCTATAATCCAAGTTTAGAGTCTTTTATTTTGCAGCATTAAAGTTCTTTAAATTTTCTTCAGTAAATGTTTTGTAAAATCAATTGATTTTTTTTATAATTACATTTTGCTCAAGATTAGTACTGGAAACTGAAGCACCTATTTTGAGCATCCAGAGTCAATTATCCCATGGCAAAATGCAAAATAAAACTTTCCTACTCTGCCTCATCCTCTAAAAACACCCTGTACTTCACAAGTATTATATTTTTCACACTAGGTATCCTTAGATTATCATTTCAGTCTTGTACCTGAATTCCCTTATCTGATTTGGAGTTGCTTGCTCCAACTGCCTACATGAGAACTCGATGTAGGGGGAGCTTCTATGTAGGAACAGAGGTTGGAAGCAGCATATCAGCTACATTAAGTAATAAATTTGTGGTGTTTAGTAAGTCATTCTTTGTGCTAATCAAAAATGAGTTAAGAAACTATTGCAAATTTTACCTGCTTGTACCCTTCCAATTTCTAAAAAAACTTTATTGCTGTACCGTGCGAAAATCAGTTTTAGCAACAAAACTAAATCACAGTGGAATTAGTGCAATCAGGAATTGTACATCGGTTTACAATTAAAGCAGAGGCCACATTTCTGTTGGCTACATTGGCAACTTACGTTTCCCTCTAATCCTTTATTCGGGTTTACTTCAGGAGTAAAAGTAACATGAATGTGTGGGGTCATGGATGACCATTCTTGACATGTTCTACCAGAAGATGTGATTGATCTTGAGCCTCGATATGTTACTCCGTTACCTATTATGCACTCTATCAAAATAAATGAATAGAGAAGAGTCATCTGCCCTTGTTTTATGTTCTATATTGCTTTTTTTTTAAATTCAACAAATTATCACAGAGAATAAATGTTTGTGTGGGTTGTCAACAAGTAGAGGGTTCATAACGTGGTTTGATGAATCAGTGTCCTAACCATCAGGACAGAAAAAGGATGGAAAACAGCATTGGATTGAAGTCGAACAACAAGGCGAGTCATTTTTGTGTTCATGATTAAGAGCGACAAATGTTCTTTTACTAATCTTGAATCGAATATTTTGACATGCTTACATGTCACTTATTCCTCACAAGGTAATTTAAGTTTGCTTTTTAAAAGAAATCCCCTGTTTTCTCTTGAACTCAGTAACCAGCCCCTAGAGACAATGCAGAGACGTCCTAAGAGTTTGAACCCCATTGTTAGAGGGATGAGCCATGAGCACTGATTAGTAAAGCTAAGGTCTTCAGTGGCATCTCAGACTTATAGAGCGCTACTAGATTTTTAATTGGATTAAGAAAATAAACCCACAACAATAATTTCAGATGCACTGAGAACAAAAGAACATGAGTATAACAACAACAACAATAAGATTCCATTTATAGAGCGCCTTTCACGTCGGGAGGACGTCCCAAGGCGCTGTACAGTTGGGTCAGGACCCGAACAGGGGGGAAATGATCAGGGAGGGAAGGGACGGAGCGAGGAGGGGGTAGAGAGTCGAGAGGGGACTCTCTTGCAAAGGGCAATTTCAGGACACACAACTTGATGTATGTTTTTACCCAATGAGAAATTAAAGCATTTGCCTACCATTTGCACAGTCACTACACAAGCGTTTTGAGAATTCCTTCCAATGTGAAAGGTGCTTATTTAACAACCGAAAAAGGTTAGCAGGAAGGGTGGTTGAGGCCAGGATTTTGGACTCATTTAAATAAACAGCTAGTGCTCTGTTTGGAAGACATAGGGTGAGTTTTCTGGAAAGATGAAAACAAATGAGCTGAAAGGCCTTCTTCATCCAAACCTCTCATGATCTTGTGACTGGAGCTCAAGTACACACATTTTCAATCCTACAGAACCTGGCTCAAGTGGTCACTTACCATCTCTGAGTTTGAACAGTCTAAGTGGACAATTTGAATATAGGGACATTGCAACAAAGAAAGAAGAACAGCTTCGGAATGAAGTCTAATTTTACAGTGTTTGGGGCTGCAAAATCAAGTATATAATGGGGGACTTTAAGATGGCCAATGGCAGCACTTCTAGGTCATCAGGTCACAATGACATCACTTCCTCCAAACGGGACATGCACATGGGGCACAGGAAGCAGCACTGACATATAGGGACATGTTACTATATTCTCCATGCTTAATTCCTGATTACTTTTGTACAAATTACCTTTCTCTGGTGCCACAGATGGACGATTCGATGGAGGTGGGCGAGAAGGTAAAATTACAACACTAAGGCACTTTTTAATATTACAGAATTCCCATCGGGTTGATGGATCAGTTGTGAAACACCACGGAGCTCTATCTCGATCAGGATTTCTACAGAGGTTGTCTTCCAGTCCCCTGTACACAGAAAAATGTTCTTTAAAAGCAAAGCAACAACCATCATTGCTTCTGGCAGATTTCTGCCTAATCTGATTCCTTTCATTATTTTTCACAGAATCATATACATTGCAAAACAAATAATCCAGGGATCTCTACATAGATATCCTGCATGATGCCAGTAATGGAGTTCATTGTGATCTGGATAATATCAATTTAAAATTATTGAGAGGCTAAAGATAAAACCCTAGTGCCTATAATTGTACTAAGAGCCTTTTAAATCCATATCTGTCTGTAATCTTGCTTAACCTCCAATTGGGTTTCCATGCCACCCACAGCACAGAAACAGCCTTGGTTAAAGTGGCAAATGACATTCTGTCCATCTGCGGCCAGGGCTCCCTCTGCCTCCTCGCCCTCCTTGACCTCTCTGCTGCCTTCGACACTGTTGACCACCCTATCCTCATCCACCGCCTCTTCTCTCACCTCAGCTTTCATGATTCTGTCCTTGGCTGGTTCAGATCGTACCTCTCATACTGCCTCAACGTCATCTCCACAAATGGCTTCTCCTCTAGCCCCTGCACCGTCTCGTGCGGTGTTCCTCAGGGCTCTGTCCTTGGTTCCCTCCTCTTCAATATCTATTTGCTCCCTCTTGGTGACATCATCCGCAGACATGGGGTCAACTTCCACATGTATGCAGATGACACCCAACTCTACCTCTCTGCCTCAAACCTTTACTCCAGGACCACTGCTGTCCTGACAGACTGTCTGTCAGACATTAGGTCCTGGATGAGAGCTAACTTTCTACAGTTGAATGTCAACAAGACCGAGGCTCTCCTGATTGGCTCCCGTCAGCGCCTCCACCCCTCAGGCACCAAGAGCATCACCATCCGTGGTTGCACACTCCACCTCACTGAGCCAGTCCGGAACCTCGGCATCTTGTTAGACTCTTAACTATCCTTTCTACCTATCCTATATTTGTGCTATGTTCCGCTCTGCCTTCCTCACCTCCGCAACATCGCCCAGCTCCGCCATTATCTCACACTGTAGGCCACCAAGATCCTCATACACGCATTCATAACATCCAGGTTCGACAATGCAAACTCTTTGCTTGTCGGACTCCCCAACTCCTCCCTCCAGATGCTGCCAGAACTCTGCAGCCTGTGTCCGCTCCCGCACTAGGCTCCGCGACCCTATCACCTCCATCCTCGCCTGACTCCACTAGCTTCCCATCACACAGAGAATACAGTTCAAGATCCTGGTCCTCACCTTCAAAGCCCCACATGGCCTCGTTCCCCAAACTTCTGCGATCTCCTAACCTCCTACCAGCCTGCCTGCTCCCTCCACCGAGCAGGCTCCAGCCTGCTTCAGGCACCCCACCTCGCCCACCCCACCAACGGGCCTTCAGACATTCTTCCCCCACCCTCTGGAACTGCATCCTGCAGTCCCTCCATCTCGCCTCATCTGTTGCCTCCTTCAAGACCCACCTCAAGACCCTCCTCTTTGACCATGCTTTCGATCATGCTTTCCCCTCCTGCCCTCCACCCTCCCCAATCCAGACCCCCAGCTCAGGTCCAAAATGCTGTCTGTTTAGCGCCTGAGGCATCCTCCTAACATGAAAGGTGCTATACAAATGTAATGTTGTTATTATTTTGTACATACGAGTTGGGAAAATTCTTGGGTGTCTTCAAATGTCTGTGTGGTTTCATGGACTCCCATGCTTGGCATCGTTTTCCTGATATGGTCATAGATACAGTTCCACGATAGTCCACACCTGTTCCATTGTAGCATTCAGGAGGACTATCTTCATCTAAAGGCACTAAAGGGTTTTCAATGAAAAAATGGGAGAAAGCCACAAGCATTTCAATAACTGTAAGTGTTTCACATTCTTCAGTATTTTTACCAAATGAAGCCTAATACAGTCTTGAAAAATCATTGGCAAGGTAATGTAATATCAAATTAAAACCTAGCAAAGGTTAAAATCAAATCTACTTCAGTAATAATAATAATCCTTGCATTTGATATAGGGCCTTATCACGTCTTTAAGACATCTCAAAGCGCTTCACAGAATATACTGTAAAGTGAATTGACTGTATACTTTTGGGGCAAAACGCAGCAGCCAATTGCGCTCAGCAGTGTCCCACAAACAGTCGTGGATTGAAGTCAATTGATTATCATTTTTTTGAAGGAATTATTACCCCCAGAAAAATGATCCGTCAATCGACTAACAACCAGGTTCCTACTTACTGCTAGGTAAACAGAGGCATGTGGAGTCAGGAAACTTGCGCAACATTTTGCCCTGCCAGGAATCAAACCCAGGTCTCTCGCTTGTGAGGCGAGTGCTCTAACCATTGAGCTACAGTTTCCTTACCGGGTATAAACAAAATTTATGCCCATGTACTCCTGTATGGCATACAAACCAATGGATGAATAGCAGACAGAATAACAATGAGTTATTTCTGGGCTCAAAATTCAGAGCAATAGCTTTTCGAAATATTGGTAAAATCTCACCTCTCGTTTGATTGCCGCACTTTGGCACTTGGCAATATTCCCACCTTGTAGATGCATCAGTCGTGTAACACCAGGGTTCCTTCTCAGAATCAGGGTTTCGGCAGTAGTTGCTCTCCAGTCCTCTGAAATGGACATACAGAACAGCAGTTGGATTTTACCTATCTGACAGAGGCAATGGCAGAGACTTGTACCAGACTGAATGCCTTATGATTGCATTCTGAGTCCTGTATAATAACATTAATAGTTCAAGTAAAGGCTGCCATAACCTTCTTATAGGGGGGTGAACTGCCAGAGAACAAAACTATGCAACACTCAGCACAAAGCACCATTCTCACTCACAAAGAATGAATGACAAAAAACATGGAATTCCCACTAGCACTAACTTGCTTTTCAAAAGTTAGGATTAAAAGTCACTTACCTGCAAGGGTAGTTTCTATGTGTTCTTGAATGAACGTGGGGATCCTTTGAATCCCAGTGCTGACACGTTTTACCAGACCTGGTTGTAGATATATTCCCACGGTACAGTTGACCTCGTTCTGTGTAGCATTTGGTTTCTATCTCAATGCTTGGGGGCTCACCACCTTCAGGGTAAAAAACATTTTGAAAGTTTAATATATTATCTTTTACGTTCACGTCACAGTGGGGAGATCCCATTTACAAATAAGTGTTGAAAGATTGGTGTTTTTAGTAATCAGTGTAAGGTGCTTTCTCTCCCGCCAACCCCATGTTTAATTGGTTTCAGTAAACTGCAAGTTTTGTTTATTTGTCTTCTCAATGTTCTCCACTGCTGAAGGTGTGACTTGTGCCGATGCGGCCCCAGAAACACTGACTACTCTCCAATACATCTCCCAAGTGGCCAATTTTGTAAGTCTGGACAGTGAGTGGATAAGGACATTACATTCAAGCTCAAGCCTGTCCTCTCTCAAAATCCATACATTTCTGTAGTTTCCATAAATGGGGTCACTGCCCAGCAATCGTGGGAACCATAGAATTTTAGAATGTTTCAGCGCAGAGGAAACCATTCAGCCCATCGAGCCTGTGCTGACTATCCATTTAGTTATAATAATGTAATGATCCTTGCATTTGATATAGCGCCTTATCACACCATTGAAACATCTCAAAGCGCTTCACAGAATATACAGTAAAATGAATTGACTGTATATTTTGTGGGCAAAGCATAGCAGTGTCCCACAAATAGTTGTGGATTGAGTGACCAAATTATATTTTTTTAAGGGATCATTAACCCCGAAAAACAATCCACCAATCAACCAACAACCGGGTTCCTATTTACTACTAGGTAAACAGAGGTGTGTGGAGTAAGGAAACTTGCCTTATGTTTTGCCATGCCTGGGAATCAAACCTGTTCCATTCCGCCTTCCATTTCTTCATACCCTTTTATATTTTTCCTTTTCAAATATATGTTTAATTCCCTTAAAAGGTGCTGTAGATTATGGATTAGCACTTCTCTTACAATCATGCTATTCTTTCATTCATTACATCTATTAATTCTATTTTCTATTTTCTCTAGTTTTCCATTGATTCTTCTCTTCCATTGTTTCTCCTCTACCATTAACTCTACAACAGACTTGAATAAAATAAAGTAATAATAATAATAATTATTGTACTTGGTGTAGCACCTGATCACAACAGAAGGATCAAAGTGCTTCACAGGAGTTTCTGTAAAATGGAGTGAAATGGAGTGTAGTAGGCAAATGGGGCAACACAATTGCACACAGCAATATCCCACAAACAGCCATGAAGTGAATGACCAATTTTTTATTTGGGGGTTATTAGCCAGTATACTGGAGGAAATTCCCCACACTTTTCAATTAGCATCATGGGATCTTTAACATCCACCTAAACAGGTAGACAGGATTAGACAAGTTTAACTCTCATCCAAAGGACAGGACAGAACTGCATTGAAGTGTTATCTTAGACTCAGTGAGTTTCAAGTCCCCACATGGGGCTTGAACCCACAACCTTCTGACTCATATGTGAAAGTGCTACCACTATACTAAGCTGCATTACCGTTGACTCTACACTGCCATCAACTTTACATTGCCATTGACTCTACACTGCCATTAATTCTACTCTACCTTTGACTTGACCCAACCATTGACTCCTTCATGGACTCTACACTGCCATAATTCTACTTTTCATCCTGTAGGTGATTCTCACCTTTGGTTTTCTCTTTCCTAATTCAGAAGTGGTAAGAGCAAGTTTGATACCTCTACTGCTGCCTTGGATGAGACCAGCTAAGTCAGCACAGAGAAAGTTGTCAGCTAATTATTGGAACAGCACAGCCAGCCCTTGTGGGGAATGGTAAATATAATCAACACAACTTTCCTTTTGAACATTTTGGCAGATGGGAAGAGCATATGTGACCAAAGATGGATCTATAAAAAAGGCACACATGACCCTCAAGCTCCAACTAATTCAGCCTTTTCCCTCATACTGGGAAGGGAAGCCAAAGCCACCTTTCTACCAGCATTACTTGCCCTCCATAAATCTCCAGAACAGGCTAACATAGGCGCAACGTCAAGGAAAAAAAATGAAACACTCACTGCATCGTTTAATGTTGCAGAATGCCCAGCGTCGATCAAGAGCAGTTGTAAAACACCAGGGCCTGGGTTCTCCATCTGGATTCCGGCAGTAGTTTTCCTGGAGATATTTATCTGCAAAACTGAATCAGCATCTTAATGATAATCCGTATATTTGACATAGAGCCTTATCGCACAGAAACATCCCAAAGCAATTCTGAGATTTTTTGTCAAGTGAAGTTGCAGGCAAACACAGCCAATTTATGGGCAAAAGAGTCCAGCAATCAGCCATGAAGTAATGTCCAATTTTATCTGGAGGTCAGTTGACCGAGATGTATTCCCTTCTTTTGTTGAAAGTGGGATGAGATTATAAACATCCACTAGAACAGGGGATATGGGACTTCAGTCTAATGAATCATTTCCTTGCCCTCCTTCCCTCCTGATCCAACCCCAAGCTCGGGTACAAATTCTTGACTGTCCAATTCCTAAAGATGTTCTCCCAACATGAACAGTGCTATACAAAATTTAATTTGTTGTTATTGTCGTCTCATCCCAAGGACTGCAACTCTGACAATACAGCACTCTCCCAGCACTGTATTGGATTGCCAAGACTATGAGCTAAACATCTTGACATGGAGCTTGGACACACACCATATAACTCAGAAACAACAGTACCACCAACTAAGTCAGACTGACACCTTATTATTATTTAAGACAAATTTGCATTTATATAGGGCCTTGCTTCATAAAATAAATATCTCAATGTGCTTTATGAAATTAGATTGATTAGAAATCAAGTGAATGTTGTTATCTAGGAAAACCTAATACCAAATTTACACCGACAATGTCCCACAAAATAACTGAGTTGAGTGGTCAGTTATTTCAAATTCGGGGGTAAACTTGGATGCGTTGGGAATACAAAGCTGGATAACCAGGAAAAAAACTCCACACTTCTTTTAAACAGCTTTGTAAGGGAGGGCGGGAGAGGAGGCCTTAGTGACCATTTGATTCACAAAGTGATGATCCTCCAGTCACTGGTTGGTTGTGTTTGGATTGAAAGTTCTCAAGAAAGCGAATAACATTTTCTTTCAGTCTTGATCATCTCAAAGTGCTGGCCAAACTGTAGCCTGCAGGCCAGTTCAAGCTGCCGGCTTCCCCCCCCCCGAACATTCACACTGATCTAGGTAAGTCTGTGTTCAATCGGTTGTGTATTTCCAGATATTTCTTGATTGAACATTTCTTAATTTATTGGAATGAATCACAAAATATTCAATCAAGAAAATTTATTTTGTTGGCCGAACAAAAAGATTGACCACCCCGGCATTGGGTTTACTGAAGGTTTTGATACTCATTATAAAGAAAGACAAAATAAATGAAGATGAAAAAAGAAAAAGAGAAAAGAAACAAATACATAGAGGAGTTCTGCCACTTACAAACTGGGATTGTATCCATGACGGTGAGGTACTTGGGAATTCCACGCCTGACATTTAACTCCATCCTCGGTTTGTGAAACTTGACCACGATAGTTTTCTCCGCTGCAGTACATACAAGTGTCTATAATGAAAGGATAACACAGAATCATAAAATAATAGAATCATAGAATCTTACAGCACAGAAGCGGGCAATGGGCCTATTGTACCTGTGCCGGCTCTTTGAAAGAGTTATTCAATTAGTGCCTTTCCCCTGCTCTTTCCCCACAGCCTTCCCCATGTGTTAAAGGACCCTTGTTACTAGAGGAATCAGAGTGAGCAGCCTGACAATGACTGAATGGAATAAGAATGTGAATGAGAAAACTTGAAATTTGTCCCTTCAAGCTCACAATTTATAAACACCTATGTCCATTAAATAAACATCTATGTTCATACTCTCCTCCTACACGCCTGAAGGAAAAAAGTGAAACCTAAGTGAAACAAACCCAAACACATCTTGTATTTTTAAGCGAAAAGGAGCCAGTGGAAGCTAAAGTGATTCCCAGCAAAAAAGAGAGATGAAAAATTGAAGACGACAATTGAGCTTGAGGTATAGGGGAAAATTAAGGGCCACTGACAAATCAGGTGGCTCGTCCCAATAGCATTGACAAATGCATTGACAAATGCCGAGAAGGAGTCTGTACACTGGATGTCTCAGGAAAAAGGCAAGGCAAAAAGGAAGAGGATTCATAATTTTGCATTAAAATAACACTTAAGTCTCTCGCCCCACCGCTTGGAACTCTATCCCACAATCCCTTCGCCTCGTTCTCTCCCGACATGAAAGGCACTATACAAATGTGATTTTTTCCACATTTTTGAACATTTTTGAAAAATGCACTTTTTTTCCATCATTGTAGTCACAGCCTGAATATTTGATGAGTTTGATTTAGCGAGTGTGGAAGGAGAAGGTTTCTTATACAGAAATTGGCCACACCTTCACATTCTGGTAATCTGCAGTATTCCCATCGCTTTTTTGGATCTTGAGTGTAGCACCAAGGACCACCAGTATCATTGTCTGGATTTCTGCAAAAATTGGCTTCCAGACCAGCATATGGAAAATTATTTGGTTTGTACCTGTAGGAAATCACAGAGAAAACTCACTGAAAGGGTAACTTTATTGGACCGAGTCATAATTTGAAGGTGAGATACAGTGTTATGGAACTTAAGGCAGGAAATACCCATTGCCACTAAGTGCAGAGACTTGAAAGATATAATGGGAGTTTCCCAATAATCACACGGACTGCTAAATTCTTAAATGCAGTCTTAATTTGGAACCAGTTCTTAAAAGTTGAAGAATTTTCCAAAATTCTGGGTGATCTGAATTCAAGACTAAGAATTCAAGGATCTTAATAATTATTATAATAATAATTCCTTGCATTTGATCTTGCGCCTTATCACATTTTCAAGACGTCTCAAAAACCAAGAGAAATTTCCATGCTTCTGTCTGATTGTGAAGGCCACAGCTTTGAAGAATTCTGAATTGAAAGGGGTGTGTTAGCAGTGCTGTTCCACTAGGGATCACCATTTCAATGCACTGGAATGTAAGCCAAACTATGAACTCAAAATCCCAACATAGAGCTTGAGCCCACAACCTATCAAAGGAGCAAGGCTAACCATTGTAACACTACAGTAATAATGTAACTCCTGGTGTCACAGTAACTTTACTACTGTCCTCACCCTCACTGACCCCTCTTCTGCTCTCACCCTCCTCCACAACACCCTTTCCTCCACACTCGACACTCTTACCTCCATCATCTCCCATACTGTCTCTTACTCTCGCTCCTCCCCCTGGTTCTCCACCCACCTCCGCTCACTGAAGAGCCAGGTGCGGGCCGCTGAACGCACCTGCCTCAAATCTGGCCTAACGGTACACCGGCAAATCTGGCTGGACCTCCTCAAAACCTACCGCTCCACTCTAGCCTCGGCCAAGTCGTCCTTCTACTCCAGGATAATCCTGGAGGCGAAGAACAACCCCAGGCTTCTGTTCTCTACCACATCCCGACTCCTCTGTACCCCCCAACACCTGCGCAGGTCATCTCCTCCAACCGTCACTGCGAGGAGATGCTGGATTTCCTTGAATCCAAAATCAAGGGAATCCGTTCCGCGGTCACTGCCCCTCCAACTTCCACCCACCCCCCACCCCTTCCCTCCCACACTCCGACTCCTACCCATCCTCCCCTACACACCTTCGAACCCGTTTCCCCACCCTCTGTCACCAAACTCATCCTGCCCTCGAAACCCACCACCTGCTCCCTTGACCCCATCCCCACTCCACTCCTTATCTCCCAGCTCCACCTCCTTGCCCCACGTCTCACAGACACCGTTAACCTGTCCCTCTCCTCTGGCTCTGTTCCCATTCCCCTCAAAACTGCCACCATCACTCCAATACTGAAAAAACCCTCCCTTGATGCGTTGCAGCCATCAAGCTACCGGCCCATCTCCAACCTCCCCTTCCTGTCCAAGGTCTCGAAATAGTCGTCGCCTCCCAGCTGCGCTCTTTCCTCTCCACCCACTCACTATTTGAACCCCTCCAGTCGCGTTTCCATGCTGCCCATAGCACAGAAACCGCCCTGGTCAAGGTCACCAATGACATCCTGACCATCTGCGACCAGGGCTCCTTCTGCCTTCTCGTCCTCCTCGACCTATCAGCCGCATTTGATACGGTCGACAACTCTATCCTCCTCCACCGCTTGTCCTCCCACCTCAACCTTCAAGGCCCTGTCCTTGAGTGGCTTAGGTCCTACCTCTTCCACCATCTTCCTTTTGTCTCTGCAAATGGCTTTTCCTCCAGCCTCCGCACTGTCTCGTGCGGTGTCCCTCAGGGCTCTGTCCTCGGTCCCCTCCTCTTCACCCTCTATATGCTCCCCCTTGGTGACATCATCCGCAGACATGGGGTTGACTTCCACATGTATGCGGATGACACCCAACTCTACCTTTCCTCTTCTATCCTCAACTCCACGACCACCGATGTCCTGACAGCCTGCCTGTCTGACATTGAGTCCTGGCCGAGAGACAACTTTCTTCAGCTCAACGTGCACAAAACTGAGGCCCTCCTGATTGTCTCGCGTTAGCGCCTCCGCACCTCAGGCGCTGACAGCATCAGCATCCAAGGCTGCACTCTCCACCTCTCAAAGCCAGTCAGGAACCTCGGGGTTCTGTTTGACCCTGAGCTGTCCTTTCTCCCTCATATCGACCCTTCTTCCCCACATCCGCGCCACAACTGGAAATGCCTTCCACCACCTCCGGAATATCGCCAGACTACGGCACTACCTCACCCCTCACGCTGCTGAAACACTGGTCCACGCCTTTATCACCTCAAGGCGGAACTACGGGAACTCTCTCCTCGTCGGCCTTCCCGGCACCTCCCTCCACAAGCTGCAGGTCATTCAGAACTCTGCAGCTCGTGTACTGTCCCGCACCAGGCTTCGCGACCACATCACTCCCACCCTCGCTCGCCTCCACTGGCTCCCCATCCCCCAGAGGATCGAATTCAAGATCCTCATCCTCACCTACAAGGCCATTCACGGCCTTGCACCCTCCTACCTCTCCGGCCTACTATCCCTCCACTTACCTGCCCGTACCCTCCGATCCTCTGGCTCCGGTCTGCTCCACGTATCCCGCCCCAACCGCCCTACCATCGGTGGCCGGGCCTTCAGCCTCTCAGCCCCGAGGCTCTGGAACTCCATCCCCCAGTGCCTTCGCCGCCTCCTCCCTTTCCTCCTTCAAGGCCGGTCTCAAGACCTTTCTCTTCGACCGTGCCTTCAGCTCCCCTCTCGACTCTCTACCCCCTCCTCGCTCCCTCCCTTCCCTCCTCTAACCCTGACCATTTCCCCCCTGCTCGGGTCCCGACCCAACTGTCCAGCGACTTGGGAAGTCCTCCCGACGTGAAAGGCACTCTATAAATGCAATCATGTTGTTGTTGTTGTTGTACTGCAATATAAGCATTATTTTACTGCATCACAATGCTTGAGAAAGGATTTTTTCTGAACCTACCAGCAGGTTGAGGAATAATTAGATGAATCCTACTAGAATTTACTTTATTTAGTTTCATTGTATTTTTTAAAAAAAATAAGATTTCTTGTCCTGCAATGTATAGTTGGGTGTCAGTTGGTCGCACTTTCGCCTCTGAGACAGAAAGTTGTGGGTGGAAGCCTCATGGTTGGAAATTTGAACTCATATAGTTTCGACTGGCATTGCATGCAGGGCTGAATTTTTGAGGGTGCCATCTTCAGAGTTCCTTGGTTTCCTGGCCAACTTGTCCAAATTGCTCATTCACTTCATGGCTATCTTAGGACACTGCTGAGTGCAAAATGCCATGTTTGCCTACGAAATAGACATTCACCACATTTTGCAGTAAATCTTGTGAATCACTTTGAGACATCCCCTTGACGTCAAACAACAACAACAACAAAATGTTACATTTATATAGTCTTTCACGTTGGGATGACGTCCCAAGGCGCAATATCAGATGAAAGGATTACTATTGTTTCTTTATGATGCAGCTTGTTTGACTAAGCAATTTAAAACCAATCCGAGCCTTAAATAGGTACATGCCTTGGGACGTGAGGGGTGCTGCTGCTCCATTTCTGGCAGGTTATTCCAGAAACTGTTTGTGATTTTGTTCCTCTGTAGGTAAATCCAGAGCCTCTTCTGCATTCTAAAAGAAAATCTGAAGGAAACAGAGAAACATGTTCATGAAGGAGCTCACGGTGTCTCTGGTGCGTGTTCAGTGGCCACAGCCTTCCCTATAAGCATCAACAAATTAAACTAAACAAATAAATTGGTACTTAATGTTAGAATGATACACAAGTCATAGTCTTGTTTTCATAAATAAACCATGAGGCTTCCACCCACAACTTTCTGTCTCAGAGGCAAAAGTGCGACCAACTGACACCCAACTATTCATTGCAGGACAAGAAATCTTATTATTTTAAAAATACAATGAAACTAAATAAAGTAAATTCTAGTAGGGATTCATGTAATTATTCCTCAATGCCTGCGCTCACCATATTGAACGATATCAGAGCCGGGGGCAGAGCTGTTGATGCTATTTGTATTCCATTTCAGCACCAAGTACTCCCAGCTCACATACAGCATGAGCCAGCTGCAGATAAACCTGCTCCATATTATGTGCCTGAAATGAATTCAGTACAATACAATTTTCATTTGTACAGTGCCTTTCATATCTGGAGGATATCCTCAAGCCCTTGACAATTCTGGCTGGCACCAAAGCTAAGGGTGGATGCTGGAGAGAGGAGGAGGGGAAAGATGACTGAAAGCACAGTCAAGGAGATTCCAGTTGACCTCTTGTAAAGCACCAGGGTAACATTTTCCATTTCCTGTTACTGCCTTTCTGAGAACCACCATGGTCAAGGTCAATGTGTAGCATTCTCCAGACACTGCACCCAGCACAATGAGGAGACTTGCATCCCATCAGTTTTGTCTGAATTTGAATCCAGGTTTCAGAAGTAAAGAGAACAATGTGAAATCCTATCATAATGACTTAACAAAAAAGATTGCTAGTGTTGACAACAAGAAGACAGTGATATGGCAAAATGTGGATGATTTCCAGTATCCCCAGCACCCTGTTTAGTGTCCAGGCTGCAGTCAGAGGCTAGATTATTATTAGATGATGATTTCCAACTGGACAGTGGAGTCATTCCTGCCTCTCCCAGAGTCAGGTCTCAAAGCAGAGTAAGTGCAAGCCTGGGATCAGGATACCCATATTCTGGACCACTAGTAAAGTTTAGCAAACAGAGGATGAAATAACACAAAAAGAAGAGATCTGTAGACTTGTGCTGAACAAAACAGATCCAATTGAATTACATTTCTCACTTTGATGATAGTATCCCCAAGGTACTGATATAACGGTTCTCGACACTGCAATGTGTCAGCTGTCACAGCTGCTCTCTTCAACAGGCTTTACTGCTCTTTCAGAGTTCCCAGAGCTTTTACGCATTGAAACTGAACGTAGAATCTTGTTGATGTTCACAGCTCCCTATTGCTGTTGCAAAGTGTAATGTTTGCGAACAAAAAATCAGAATTATTCTCTGGATTTCAACACTGACTTTTCCCTGAGATCAAATATTTCAACTAAGTGAAATGCTGACTAAACAATTCTTTTTGTTTGCATGTTCCCAATAGGTATTTGTTTAGCCTGTCTGATCCCTCTGCCACTGTTCACAAATGGTGAACTTTCAACCAACTTAAAATGGTCCCCCAGATAACAATTTGGGTTTGTGTGCGCGTGTGGAGATGTGTGTGGGGGTGGGGTGGGTTTGAGTGTAGGAGGATCTGTGTGTGTGGTGGGAGGGTATTAAGAACTAGGAACTACCTCACAGTCCACCACAAATCGCACTGAACCCCATTCCCAACACTACCTAGAGAAGGTAGTTTTAAGAGCATAGTGATTTGCCCCACAGAAATATAAACCCACAGGCATGAATGGTACTGTTTCTTTGTATATTATCAATTCTTCTCATCATTTTAAAATGTTAATCATGTTCCCTCATAATTCATACTTATCCACTATAAATAAAAACAACTATAAATAAAAACAAAGTACTCTTTTCCCTCTTTAACATTAAACATTGAACTGAATAGATTTCCTCTAAGACCAAAGAATATAATAGCTCCATTGCTATTGCTCCGTGTCTCATTATATTAGCATTCTGTTTCAGCTTTGGTGTAAGATTTAAAAAGATAATCGGGGGGGTGGGGGGTAGAATCTTATCTGTTCATGCCAACTGATATAAATCTCCACTTACCTTTTTTCTCATAAAGAACTGTATTAGTTCTTCTCAGCAGCTGAGTAGTCTTACTGTTATCTGCTGTAATAAGGCACTCATTTTCCTTCTGAGTGAAAAGAAAGGCTCTAAAAAGGAAAACGTGTATTTAGGAATAGTGATGGACAAAATAATTACTCTTGCCAGGCTGAACTAATACACAGGAATAACACTGGACATGAAAACCACTATTCTTACTTTGTTTCATTAAAACTGCACAAACAAATGAAACCAAGATATGTTTTTTAAAAAAATTATTTGATGCAAAATGAAGACTTTCCAGCATTAATTCCAAATTCAAAATACATCTCAATAAATGCTTCTCTATAATATGAAACCACTTTACTGAATTCATAGTTTTGACTCACAATGAGGAAAACTTGTGGGCATTTGCCCATAAATACACACCGCTTTACAATAAATCCTGTAAAACGCTTTGAGACATCCTCTTGCCATCAAAAATTTTATAATAATAACAATAATAATCTTCCATTTGGTAGAGTGCCTTATCACATCACTGAAACATCTCAGAGCCCTTCACAGCATTTTACTGTGTTGTGACTATGTGTTTGTAGGCGATATCAAATGTAAGGATTATTATTATTATACTCTGGTATTGTTTTGTTACACAAAATATGTGATAAATTAACCTAATTTACATCTTTGTCACATAACGCCTCATTTTTAAATCTAATTATTATGAAACCAGGAAACCAAATAGTACCTGCAAATAAATGTAGTTTCTCTGCTACATTTTGCAGCACATTCTTCAACGCTTAATTGCACATATGTTGATTTTATTGTAGAATAAATCCAGGCCCCTTCTGTTTTATCGTACTCGGAATGTAAATCAGCTCTTACTGTACAAAAAAGAAGGCAACAAAATATGCTTTATTTGCACCACAAGCTATATGCAAAACCATGTAGCACGTTATTAGTTTTACTCACCAAAACGTGACAAAGTCAGTAAAAGGAGTCCTGCGTAAGGAAGCATTTTAATTCTGATTTGAACCACAATGGCGCCACGTTGTAAGTCAATGCATCTTACTGAGGGTTTTATACCAGTGAGCAAACAGTGCACGCTAGTAGTCACTGTGTTTGGAGCTAGTGAATCATTCTCTAACCAAAACCAATGTGAATTTCCTAACTTCACAGGACGTTGATAAAACTCTGAACAGTATTAATTATTTTAGTGTATATTTTTTTCAGATAATCTGAGGTGATTGTTCCAAATTGTAGTCACTTTATGTGAATTAAACTTCTAGCAGCCTAACAATGCATAAGTATTTAATACGTGGAGAATGCGTGGAGATTTTTCACAACAACAACAACAAAATTAAACTTGTATAGGGTCTCTCAAGTTGGGAGGGTGTCCCAAGGCACTGGACAGTCAGTGTTTTGGATCCGAGCTGAGAGTCGGGATTGGGGAGGTTGGAGGGCGGGGGGGGAAGGAGGGTGATCAAAAGCATGGACAAAGAGGAGGGTCTTGAGATAGGTCTTGAAGGAGGCAACGGAGGGGGTGAGGCAATGGGACTGCGGGATGGAGTTCCAGAGGGTGAGAGCAGAGTGGCTGAGGGCCCGCCAGCCAATGGTGGGGCGAGCGAGGCAGGCCGGAGCCCGCTGAGCGGGCCGGAGCCCGCTGAGCGGAGGGAGCGGGCAGGTTGATAGGGAGTTAGGAGGTCACAGAGATAGTGGGGAGCGAGGCCGTTGAAGGTGAGCATTAACAGCATTACTTAACAAGAATGCAAATGGGACTACCTACCAATCTTTGGAAGTATATAGCATCGACTTGTATGTATTTTGTTTTGAGAATAGGTCACATCGGAGCATACTTCCTCTGGTCATAGTGTAACATACTTCCAGTTTCCTTATTAAAAAAAGTTCAACATTTGACACTCATATCTATTGGCCCCCATATCAGCACTATTTGGAAATATTTTGAAGATAATTAGGCAGTATTTTCCCAGTCTTCTTTATTAGTTTGTAACATTAATACTGCTACGTTAATACAAAACAAAGATGAATTTACAAGGTAAAGTAAAGCCTTATATGCCATTATTTGAAAAATAAATTGAAATACTGTTCAGATATGCCTCCATGGTGTCTGTACAGCATTGATTCTGTACAATAGTTTGAAGAGAAGGCACAACCTGACCTCCTAACACATAATTTTTGTCTGGAATAGGAAGCTCGTATATATTTTTTTCATATAAACAAATGTGATCACTCAATAATATATGACTGTTTGTAGGACATCGCTGTGCACAACTGACTGCTGCTTTTCGCTCATGAAATACACAGTCAATCCACTTTACAATATATTCTGTGAAGCACTTTGAGATGGCTAAACAACATGATAAGGCGCTATATCAAATGCAAGGATTATTATCATTAAAACCAACAGTATGAAACCTTTCAAACTGCCAAATTCCTTTTTTTTAAGCACCAAACAAGTACACTAACTTAACCCTGTCAACTGCTTAATCCATTCTGAGTTAGATTTACATCAATGATTCCTATCGTGCTACAGAATTTGCTTATATTGTCTGCTCCACAGCAACCTCGGCCTGATCTCACTTGATTGGACTCAACCAGCTTAGTTGGGAGTTGCTCAGGTTACCACTCTAAATTATAACCAATATTTCATGCCAAGTGCAGATATGTGGCAGAAAAACATCCAAAAACTGGTGCAAAACAAAACATTCTTTCATGGTTTAGGAATGGCCAGGAACAGATTTCATTTCTCGGAACTCATTGGAAAGTTGGCAGAGAAACAGATTCAAGCTATAATTGTTTGTAGAGCCTCACTAATAACATCCATAAAACCAGGATTTTGTGGAAAATAATGTGAACATAAGGTAAGCGGATTCCCTTTGGGTCTGAGTTGGTTTCAAGGTGACATGTCTGGAATTGGAAGATCAGAATTGATTCAATGAAGATGACTGAGTGGTAGTCCATTTCCTGAGGCAGGCAACTTCGCAGTATTTCAGTGCAAAGTTGATGCTAGACCTAGCAGCCTAACTTGTTAGCAGAACTTGCAGGAACAGACTAGTCACTGGGAGCTGGGATTCTTCCCACTTGGCTCCAAACCATAATGAACAGGATGTCTTAGCTGAATAAGCGACAAGAAGCTTCCCAGACAGTTCTCTACACTGGTACTCTGTGTGGTTTTTGCTGGTTAAACTCTTCATGCTCATTCCAGATATCCAAACTTAGGTTATTGTAAACCTAAATTCTCCAGGATAAGATATAAGGAGGGCATTCCTCTGGGGGGAGAGTACAATCCTTACCAAATAAAAAGCAATCATGAATTTGCAGAACTCTCGCCTCTAAGTCATAAAGGTGTGATTTCAAGCAGCATGTCAGGACTTGGAACTCATAGTGTAGGTAGGCTGATACTCCAGTGCATTGCTGGTAGTGTCCTGCATTACTGAAGGTGCGTTAAAGGTGCTGGGAGTGCGTTCCATTGCTTTTTAAATGAAACACTACACTGAACTCTGTTCAGTGGATGATAAACATCCCAAGGCACAATGTAAAATGAGAAGTTATTCACACTGTAACTTTATAATATGTGTCAGCCTGGCTCAGTTAGTACCACTCTCACCGCTGAGTCAGAAAGTTGTGGGGTCAAAGCACTACATTGGGAACTTTGAATTCACAGTCGAGGCTGACACTCCAGTGCAGGTTGGGGCACATTGCATTTTTGGAGGTGCCGTCTTTCAGATGAGATGTTAAAACAAGGCCTCATCTACCCGTTCAGGTCCCATTACACTATTCTCTAAAAGAGAAGGGAGGTTCTCCCATTGTCCTCTAAATAAGATCGATTACTCACTTCATGAATGTTTGTGGGATATTGCTTTGCATAAATTGCCTGCTGTAATTGCCTAGAAATCCACAGTAACTACATTCACAGTAAAATCCTGTGAAGTGCTTTGAGACATCCCAACAAAGTTACAAGGCACTGTATCGAATGCAAGTATTATTATTGTTTTTGTTATTATTATAATCCTTGCACCCTGTTATAAGCCAGATTCAATTATAAGACAAATAGTTCATAGTGCAAATGTACAGCGCAGAGGAAGTGACTTTAGTGGTGACCTGGTAACCCTGAAGTTAGCCATTTTCTAGCATGGGAAGCCTCTGCACATGTTAATTCTTGGAAGTGGAAATAGCGAAGTTTTTGCCAACTGAGTCTCAGTTGTTACATTGTACTTCATTAATAACAATGATATTTCATTCCATGTTTTCGCTAAATTGTGCATGTCAAATACTGGGACATGAAGGTTGAGAAATGTTAACCTTTTGACTGAACTGATACTAGCATGCGGCAGTTTACATAGTGACCTCCCTATCAAAGGAGAAGGTAATTATTAATCACTTAGCTCTTCTGACAAAAAAACATTACAAATATTTTGCACAAACTGGTCAGGAACTTTCAAGAACTTTCTGCTTTTTGTTCCTTTTGTGTGTGGTGGGGGGAGGGGAGTGGAAAGTACTGCTGAATGAGATTGTATGTAGGACGCTCTACATTTCAATAAATAAAATGCTTATTTAGTGGTGACTATCCTATCCAAGGTCTTCCTGCTGGTTCACGTCAGCACCTCCTTACCTCAGGCACTGGCAGCATCACTATTCACGGATGCACTTCATTTCATTAAGCCAGTACACAACCTGGGTGTCTCGTTCGATCCTCAACTGTCCCTTAAACCCAAATCCATGCCATGACCTGTTCAGCCTTCCCCCACCTCTGCAACATTGGCCGCCTCTGCCACTACCTCTCCCCCCAGGAAACCAAGACCATAATCCATGCTTTCGGAACATCCAGGCTTGACTACCCCATCTCCCTGCTCAATAGTTTTCCGAACTTCACTCAATAAGCTGCAGATTATTCAGAACTCTGCAACTCGTGTCCTCTCCCACACTAAGCTTTGTGACCCAAATACCCCCTATCCTCCCCCCAGCTTCACTGGCTCTCCATTCCCCAGAGGTTCAAGTTTAAAATCCTAGCCCTCATCTTTAAAGCCCTCCATGGTCTTGCTCCACCCTACCTCTGTGTGACCTCCTGGAACCCTACCAACCCGTCTGCTCCCTCCGCTCAGCAGGTACTGGCCTGCTGCACTTCCCTGCACTGTCCCTCCGCCATCGTAGGTTGGGCTTTACTTTGGCTCAATTAGTAGAGCTCTTGCTCCTGGGTCAGAAAGCTGTGAGTTCAATCTCCATATTGGGACTTGAGGTGATAGTCAAGACTGAGATGCCAGTTCAGTTTTGGGGGAAATGCTGCATTGTTGGAGGTGTTGTTGTCTGGTTGAGACATTAAAATAATGGCCCACCTGCCTGTTCTGGATCTAAGGATCTTATGACTCTACTCAAAAATAGAAAGGATTTTCTTTCAGTCCTGGCAGTGTCATATACTATTACTATTTGTAATCCTATGAGCATTCTCTAATAATAGAATTACATAGAATGTACTATAACAAGCATCTTGGGCCCAACTATTCCATGCTGCTGTTTATACTCCACATGAGTCTCCAACCTTCCTAATCCCCTCTCCCTATCTCCCTCCCATAACCCTCACATTATTACTACATGCAGACACCATGTTTTCTGTTAAATGCATTGATGCTCTTTTGCTTCAATTACAGTTCCTGGCAGTACCCGTTCTCTAGCTGTGATATCCTGTGATAAGGGTGGTCCGAAACCCAATGCAATATTCCACTGTTTACATGTTCAGGACTTATTGATAAGCCAGAAAGGTTGGTCAACATTCAATAATGCCTTGGACATATTTTGTCACAAGTAGTGTTCCACAAACAGACATGGATTGAGTGACCAAATTATTTTTATTTACTTTTGAAGGAATTATTACCCCTGGAAAAGTGATCCGCTAATCGACTAACAACCAGGTTCCTACTTACTGCCAGGTAAACAGGCTTGTGGAGTAAGGAAACCTGCCCAACGTTTTGCCCTGCCAGTGAATAGAATCCAGGTCCTCTAACTTGCGAGGCGAGTGTTCTAACGAATGCTGTTTTGAGTTTATATATATATAT